CCTCATTTTCTGACAGTATGAAAATACAGCTGTAGAACTTCTGCTTTTTGAGCTTTCTACATTGGACACGCATACTTCACAAAATTCTGATTTCTTCCATGTAATGATCATCTTCTCAAATTTTGCCCAATCTTTAATGCAAAGTTTCATAAGAGACCTAATGAAGTATGAAAGGAATCTGGGACCTTTGAAACTTATTACTTAACTGGCTCTTACTTAACCTTTCAGTGGTGTTGTATATTTAACCATAAGCGAAATAGAGTCAAACTATTTGAGCATTTGCTATAACAGAAAATCCTATTATTTTTTCTACACCATATTGTCGGACCCTACCTTTTGAATATAAGTAAGTCACCTCCTGTTTACACAGTGTCTTTCTCCCCATTTCCCTCTATTTGACATTTGTTGGAGCCTATTATTAGGTTACTGACAAGGGATTAAAGTCACGCCCATCTTCAGGCAACTGTTTCTTTTCCCTGTGTGCTTCAGTCAGTAGACAACGTAGTTAGAAGCATCGATTCTGGAGTCACACTGTCTGGGTCCGAACCTTGGCCTCACCTCTTGCAGCTCAATGACTCTATGTCTCTGCTTCATTACTTATAAAAATAAGTGCCTGTACTATAGATTTGTAGAGAGGATGAAATGAGATGACTGGTGTGAAGTGCTTAGCACAGTTCTTGGCATTTGGAAACCTTTAATCCATGGTGGGTGGCTATTATTAGTATCCTCAGGTGGGAGCAGAGATGATGTGGCTCCCTTCAAGCTGTGTTAGCAAGCCTCAATCACCCTGCTTGTTCTACACTTCCCCCTTACCCTTAGAATGACCTCATGTTAACCTATCCCATTTTATTGGCCCCCAAATGTGATTGTGTTCCATTTGACCCTGGCATAGTTCTGTGGGAGGTGTAGGTCTAAACTGGTTGACCCTGTAGAACTTTTTTTGTTTCTGTTATTTTGGGACCTGGCAATTACAACTAGATATCATAATGTGACTTGAAAAACAAAGGATACTTGATAAATACCCCTTTTCAATAAGTAATGAGAGTTAATATTCAGGTGTTGTAGCTTTGTAATCGGAAATAGGTCGTTTTCCCTTCATTCTTCAAAAACATTTGTTCATTTCCTTTTTGCCAGGCATGGTGCTGGGCACCCAGTCCAAAGTAGTGAACAATACATAGTTCTTGCTCTCGTGGAGTTCATAGTCTAATTGGGGGAAATGAATGAATATCCATACAATGCAACTGCAATTGGAAGTATTAGGAAAACACGCTGGGGTGTCATGAAGGGTATGGTGAAGTATGTCCCCCCACCAGTAGCAGCAACTCCTGGGATCTTGTTAGACATGTAGAGTCCTAGTTCCCCTCAGACATACTGAATTCAGAAACTGCATCGTAATCAGATTCCCAGTGATTCACATGATTCACAATAATCTGAGAAGCACTGATCTGGAGGGAAGTTCACTGGACTAAGTGTTCCTACTGTCAGGCTACTGAACAGCTATGTGACCTCTGGGCAAGTTGCTCAACCTTTCTGGGTCTCATACTTCTCCTGTGTTAAAACAAAATAAAACCAAGAAAAAACAAACAGCATTAATACTACCTGCTTACATAACACATTGAAATACTGTGACTATTAAGTGAACTGGATGAAACTTACATGAAAATGTATAACAGAAAGAAGTTGTATAAATCTAAGATGTCGATATAAATATCAAGAACACAGGAGTAGCTCCGTGTAGTAAGGGACTTGTGACTACCTTCGGTAGAATTGGAAAAGATTGTTATCATAACTGGGAACAATATTCATATCATGGATGCAGCCTTGGTTAGGTAACACATTTTTCGTTGGATGGCTTTCTGTGAAAATGCATAGAACTTAATGCCTGTATGCACTGTTATAATCGACTCTGCAACTGAACTGGACGGTTTTTCTTAACTTGCCACTGATAGATGTACATTAACTAGCCATGTCTGAGCTCAGGTGTGTACATGCTGTTAATTTCATAATTAATGTCTTGGTATCAACTCAAGTGGTTTTGCATCCTTTCCAGTTCTGTGGTCCCTTAAAGAGAGATTTCTGGATTTGAGAAGAGAGGTCAGAAAACACCTGCTAGAATCCTTGTTATTAATGGTAATAGCTTTAATAGGAGTGCACTGTGCTAAGTGTTTTGCATACATTATGTAATTTAATGAGTCTATGAGATATTTCCATTTTGCAGAAGAGGAGGTCCAGGCTCAGAGGAATTAAGTAAAATGCTCCAGTTTACATGGGACGTCCTGACTGTGGTGACACAGCTAGGAAGTGAGAGAACCAAGACTTTCAACTCAAAACCATTTGCCTTTAGAACACTATTCTTAACCATTCAGTTATGTTGCCTCATATCAAGCCAGAGAAGCTAATTTCCACTGGCTCCTCATTTGCAAGGCAAGAAGTTTGCACTATAATGAAGCATCTTAATCCTACGCCCAGGGATTCAATGAGTAAAATGAAACCTAACTCTGGGGCATGCTTGGGATGAACCGCTTCTGTAGAAACTGGGGTCAAGGTTCAAGAGAGTATCTTAAATGTGTGGTGTTTGTGTGACCATGTAGACCAGGTTTTTGGTGTGGGTTGCTCTCTGCATGACTGTTATTTGCTGACCTTACTGGGAACAGTTCTACTAACTAAGCAAGCTGAGGGGAAGTTGCCATGTAGGCCAGTGTGAGATCAACCATGAGCCCAGACTTATTTATAAACCCACAGGAAAGGCCCCTGAGCTCGCTCTGCCATCTGACTTGAGATATGGCAAGGAATGATTAGTGCAAGAGTACAGGAAGTTCTTGGTGGCCAACTAGGTTTCCAGTCTGAGCCATTTGCCCTTTCAGCCAGGAGGTGGCTACAGATTGTTCTCTTGTGTGTCAGTGTCCCTAGACTCCTCAAGGTACAGAGACTGACCTTTTGCATGTTGTTTACAAAGTTGATTAAGACTTGCACCATAGAGATCACTGACTCAATAAATATTTATCACGCACTCACTGCCTATCTGGTAGCGTCATAGGCACAGAGAAATATTACAGTCCCTGTCCTCATGGAGCTTGCCTTCTGATGGGGGCGGCAGACGACAAACCGATAAACACAGAAGAATTTCAGATAGTGCTAGGTGCCTTGGCAAAAATAGAACAGAGCAATATGAGAAAATGTTTATGTGGGGGAAGAATTTTTAGCTATGAGGATCTAAGAACTCTTTCCTGAGAAGACGGCATTAGAGCAGAGGCTTGACTGATGAAGAACCAGGGACGTGAAGACCTGGGGGAAGATCGAGAACTTCAGATGTGGAGAATAGCAGGTGCAAAGGTAGGTAGAGCTCAACAAAACATTAGGATGTTCAGTGTGACTACAGCTGAGTGAACACGTGGGGAGTTGATTTTTCAGGATTGATAAAAATCAGCTACTATGTAACCCCTCTGACATTTGTGCCACAACATGGGTGGTTAAGGAAATTTTGCCATGGCAGAATATACAAAGAACAGGATTTCTTGGTGTTCTATGTCTTTTGT